GGGGCGTCGGGCTCACCAGCGCGTACCAGGGCGCGAAGAAGGGCCGCGACTTCTTGCGGCACTGCGAGATGAACTCGCGCGTGGCGCCGGGGCTGCGTTCGAGCAGGGCCTCGATGTCGGCGTTGTATAGGCCGTCCTCCACCACCCAGCGCAGCACCGTCGCATGCTCGGGGTGGGCGGCCGCGAACCGGTCGAAGCAGTGGCGGAACACCGCTTCGACCTGGTGCTCCGCCAGCGCGCCCTCGGGTGTCGCGACGGCGTCCTGCGACAGCTGGCCCACGGCGGCCTCGACCTGCGGCGTCAGTTGCCCGTCGTCGTCATGCAGCGCCTGCTCGCGCGGCGCCTGCAGGCTGCGCTGTCGCAGTGTGTCGAGCAGCGTGTGGCGCACGATCTGGTGGATCCACGCGATCGGGTCGCCCGCGCCGCGGAAGGTCGCGCAGCGCTGCCAGACCTTGATCATGGCGTCCTGCACCACGTCCTCGGCCACTTGCCAGCTGCGCAGCGCCGTGGCGGCCTCGCGGTAGAAGCGCGCGCCGTGCTCGCGGTCCACCACGCGCAGCCAGCTTTCGATCTGGCGGCCCCCTTCACGGCAGGCCTGGGTGAACGACTGGGCAGACAGTTGCATGGCGCGTGGACACGAAAGTGCAAGGCAGCGGGTCTGGGCGGATGGTACGGGCAACACATGACCCCGCCGTGGCCGGCAGCCTGGCCTTTGATGTCAAGCCTGGGTGTTCCGGGTGCGGAGCTTGCGGGCGCCGAGCAGCAGCATGCCGGCGGCCCACAGCGCGTAGGTGGCCGGTTCGGGCACGGCCGTCACATGCAGCAGCACGCTGTTGGCGGTGTACTCGACGGTGAGCTGGTTGCTGCCCAGGCCGTGCCAGCTGATGTTGTCGAAGACGGAGTTCGACAAGCGCTGGCCGGTGCTGGCGATGGTGTAGGTGTCGCCCAGCTGCAGCGTCGCGCCCTGGCCCAGCCAGACCGACAGCTCGCCGTTCCACAGCGCCTGGTTCGTGATGACGAGCTGGTCGGACAGGCCGAGGCTGCCGAGGTCCACATGCAGCACGGAGCTGTCGTTCAGGCGCAGGCTGCCTTCGATGGTGAGGGTGCCCAGCGCAGCGTCCAGGCCGGGGTTCAGCGTGCCGTTGTTGACCAGCGCGACACTGCCGCCCCCGGTGTTGACCTTGCCGGTGCCGGTGATCAGGCCGGCGTTGGTGAAGGAGGTCTGCAGCACGCCGGCCGAGGCGAGCTGGATGGTGCCGGTGTTGACGAAGCTGTCGCGCGCGTCGAAGGTGCCCGAGTCGATGGCCAGCAGCCCGCGGTTGTCGAAGCCGTTGGCCCGCGTGGTGCCGGCGCCGCTGCGCACATAGGTGCCGGTGTTGACGAAGCTGCCGCCACCGGAGGCGCTGCCGTTGCGCAGCGTCTTGTAGGCGTTGGCCGCGTTGGCGCCCTCGTCGTTGAACGTGGCGTTGTTGACGATGACGCCGCCGAACACCGAGCCGCCGATGGCGCCGCTGCCGGCGGTCCAGCGGCTGTCGCCTTGCAGCGTCAGCGTGTGGTTCCAGTTGACCGACTGGTTGCGTGTGCCGTCGAAGGTCGTGGTGCCGGTGACGGTGGTGGCGCCCGTCGGGTAGCTGGAGATGGCGGCCGAGCCGCCGAGCGTGCCGGACTGGAAGTCCAGCGTGGTGACGGTGATGTGCCCCGTGCCGGACAGCTGCCCGCCCTGCAGGGACAGGGTGTTCAGCGTGTTGGTGCTGGCGTTGTGGACGACGCCGCCCAGGAGGTTGACGTTGCCGTCGAGCCGCGCGGTGCTGGTGAGGACCGTGTTGCCGCGGTCGAAGGTGACCAGGCCGCCGTTGGCGATGCCACCGCTGACGACGGCCGAGCTCTCGTAGAACGACAGCCGCGCGCCGCTGGCCACGTTGATCTGGCCGGTGGAGGTGCCCGTGTCGCGCAGTTCCATCGTGCCGCTGTCGACCTGCAGCGTGCCGGCGTTCTGCAAGCCGTAGGCGCGCGTCAGCCCCGCGCCGGTGCGGACATAGGTGCCGTTGTTGACGAAGGTGCCGCCGCCCGGAGGCGCTGCCGCTGCGCAGCGTCTTGTAGGCGTTGGCGCTGCCGGCGCCTTCGTCGTTGAAGGTGGCGTTGTTGACGATGACGCCGCCGAACACCGAGCCGCCGATACCGCCGCTGCCGGCCGTCCAG